AGGATAAAACAGGTTAAAATGTAAATTCAAAAAGAGATAAGGGGAGATGGCTACTTAAGGGGAGGGGGGGTGTCATGAGTAGTTTGCAGGTCAGAGCTTTGATTAAAAGTTCAGACAGAGACATCAAGTCTGGGTTAAGTTTAAGCTCATCAAAAGTTCAGACCCAACACCATCTCGATGGGATCTCCAAATTGTCAAAAGTTACTCAGGATTCAGTTTGTCAGACCACTCTGTTATTAGCACAGCGCTCTGCTAATAACACCCAGATAACGTGAGCACCCTCCAAGACACACACTACCTTATTTTATACAGATAAAAAGGGCGTGAACTTAACAAAAGAACAAAGAAAGCAGAACTGACAAGCTTACCCGAGGCTAGACATACATATTCAATTTTCTTACTAACTAACTTTTACAGATCTCTGGCTGATGTTTCACCATTAGCTTAAGCGGACTCATTAAGACAAACAATGTTCCTTTTCCTGACACCTGAATTTCAGCATTCCTTATTTCTGCTTAAAGGTACATACAGCATTTCTTTAATCCATTCTATTTTTACAATATAGTTTATTCTACTTTCACACTAGGGTATTACCCTTGGAGTTAGTGTTAGGATTCCTAAGATTCCCTGCTATAGGGTCAAGGTTCCTCTGGGTAGTGCTCCACGCCCTAGGTTTAGGGGTTCCTATATCTAGGGCCACTTGGTGATTGGCTTAGCGATACTATGCGTAGGCCAGTTGGAATTAAGGGGGTCCTATGGTTAGGCCAGTTGGAGTTAAGCTTAGACTTCCTAAGGGAAGACTCCACCGCTAGGGGAAGGGTCCTTATTTGTAGGTCTCCAAATCCTAGGATTAGGATTCCTGTGGGTAGGCCACTTGGAGTTCAGGTTAGGGTTCCTATAGGCATGCCACTTGGAGTGAGGATTAGGGTTTTTTTTTTTTTTTTTTAAACTTTAGCGCTCCATGCCCTAATGTTAAAGTTTCTCTAAATAGGCAACTTGGAGTTAGGGTAAGGCTTCCTACAGGTAGGGTTCCCTGTCCTCACGTTAGGGATCATCTAACATAGGCCACATCATGTTCGGGTTAGGGCTCCTATGCATTGGCAACTTTAAATTAAGGTTGGGGGGCCAATGGGTGGGGTTCCCAGGCGACGGTTTAATTCTGTGTATTGGTTAACTGGTGGAGTGGTCCTGTGGCTGCAAACACTCACAAATATGCGTAACAGTACATTAATATCTTTTAATGTTTTCAGGATTGGGGCCAACCCTTTTATGGATTCAGTTGCAGAAAGGACCATTTTGCTCCAAAGTCAGACTTTATATATGGAAGCTTTTTAAAATTTACTTTAATACAGTGTCTGTAGCCTTGAGAGTGTGAGCAGTGACATGCACTACCCCTGTAGGCATCATTACATTAGCAGAATGAGGCCACATTAGCGGTTCTCCCTTTAAATCTCAGCCTGAAAAACCCTTCAGAAGGATGTAATCCTTAACCACCTACAGACGGGGAAACAAGCATGGTTGAGGCTGAACAATCACACCATGGAACAATACAGAAAATCAGAACACTTTAACTACATATAACAGAGTTCCTTAGTATTTCAGTCATGCTTATCATACTGGCAGCCTTCCTCTAAGAAATAAGGATGCATTCTTCTTAGAGTGCTTACTCATGTTGATTCTAAGTAGGTGCACCTGTCAGCAGGTTTCTCTCCCCCCCCCTCCCCCTTCATGGTACCTGTTGGGTCGGCTCAGGTGCCCCCTTCATGGCGCCGCATATAGGGTCCTGTTCCTGCCGAGCCACCACCTCTTCAGTTCCTTCTTACCACCAGTGACGGTTGTTGGAGCAGAGTCGCTCTTGCTTCAGCAACCATTTCCCTAGTGATCTTCAACCTGTAAATAGTTCGTATTAGTCCCCTCCCACCCCATTTTATTCCCCTCTTGGGGTTCAAAGCATGCCTCAATCCCAAGGCTTTAAACCATGCAGGATCTGCCAGAAGCCCATGCCAAAGGTAATCCCCACAACTCCTGCCTAAAGTGCCTGGGGGAGGCGCATCAAACAGATTGTTGCAGGATCTGCAAAGGGTTCCACTTGAGAACTGAAAGGGACTTCAGGCTCAAGCAAATCCTAATGGAGGCAGTCCATCCCCAATCAACAGGGCCGGCCCACAACATTTTGGCACTGGAGATGGGGAGCTCAAATGACACCCCCATGCCTCCTCACTTGGGCCAAAACTTTGAAAGGTCTCAATGCTGCCTTCTTCCTGTTCTTCTACTCTCATGGTACTGCTCTGGTACCGAGCCCAATAAAGGAGAACTAACAACTTAAAATGCCTTGTTCAAAAATTTTAAGTAACACTTACATTTGCTGTTCAGGCATTTGAAAGTTTACTATGCAGACAAGAAAAGTTAACACTGGCATTTTTATCTGTTTGAATAATCAAAGTGGTGCTTTCTGTGCCTTCTTGGTTTCAAAGATTTGAACTGCTTCCTGAAGGTCCACAGTCTGGGCCAGCTCATACTCTATTGAGATGGTTGCAAGGCCAACCAGCCTCTCCTGTGTCATTGTGGAGCGTAGATGTGTTTTTATTAACTTCAGCTTGGAGAAGCTGCGTTCTCCACTGGCAACTGTTACAGGAAGTGTTAGAAGTATGCACAGAGCAACAAAAGCATTTGGAAAGAGGGTGGTCATCTGATTTGTGTGCACATATTCCAGAACAGCCGTTGGAGTTGATCCTCCTGAAAAGTATCTTGAAAGAGCTTTCAGTTCATCACCTAAATCACTCACATCAATATCATGCATGTCATCATGTGCCAATACTGTCTCTAGTGCCCTGCATTGCTGGTGTAGATCTTCAGGTATAATGAGGAGTTTTGGAATATCATACAACAGCCCAAATATACTGCTGTGTTCCTTGAGCTGCATGAAATGTTCAACTGACTGTATTGCACCATCTAGCACCTGGTTAAAGAATTCAACTTTGAATTGTTTGGGGTTCTCTTATGGGATTATCCCATGCTTCATAATCAAATGCCTTCTTCGGTGACTCTTGTATTCTTGAATGGGTGGGAAAATAGCTTCAGTGTGAAGTTCTTCTGCCAACTTCTGTGCAGTCTTCAGAATGTTTTGAAATCCCTCATCTGACCGGTAAGTCTGTAGGTATGACTTTGCTTTGTCCAGTTGTTCCATTGCTCCAGATGTATCAAGGTCAATACCTTGGAGTCTCTTGCTTACAACATTTATTTCAAACAGTATGTCATGCCACAACACTAAGCCACACAGAAACAGTTATGTATGTTTCTGGTGATTCCATTTCTCTCTGCCACTGTTCTCCCATGAACAGCTCCGGTCATAGCATTATCCTCCATAATGGCAACTATGGCATCATCCATCTTCCCAATTTGGTGTTTGATAGGCTTTATCGCCTCCACTCGACTTTCCCATCGTGTGGCACTCAGTGGCTTCAGTGTCAGAGAGGATGTTCCCAGATGTTGCTTCAAAATTTGCCATGGAGGAGTTGATGCAGAGAAAAATACATAGATGCTTTGAATTACAATAAAAATTTCAGCAGCCTCACTAGAAGCTGATGCTACATCACTGACCACTAAGTTTAATGAATGAGAACTGTATGGAACAAAAAAAGCTCGAGGGTTTAACTCTCGGATCCATGTCATGCACTCCTCTGTTCTTTCCTTTCATGTTGGCACCATTATCTTAGCCCTGACCTCTCATGTCAGCTATTGCAATTCCTGTTTCTTCCAGCTTTTTAGGAAGCACATTTGTCATACCAGCTCCTGTAGTATCAATGTCAATAAATTCTAGAAAATACTTTCTGACAGTCACCATTGCAGGGACATTTTCATTAGGTTCTGTTGTTACAAAACACACCATTAAAGTCATTTGTTCCATATTGCTGATGTCAGGTGTGCAGTCCAGGATAACACAGTAATACCTTGCTGACTTCAGATCTGCCACAATCTTCTGTTTGATTTTTGTTGCCAGTAACTGTATAATCTAATTTTGAATTGTTTTTCCAAGGTAGTAGTGGGTGTACATTTCTTGGGTGGTGACTCTTCTTAGATGCTCCTGGAGTACAGCATCAAACTCAGCCATCAGTGCCACAATTTTAAGGAAGTTTCCATTGTTTGGCACATATAGCTGATCTGAAGTGCCATGCAGTGCTAGGTTTTGGGTAGCAAGCATTCTCACAGTGGCAATGAGCTTTTTCAGAACATTTTGCCAGTAGAGAGAGACTGATGCAATCTTCTCTTGAGGCTGATCATCTATGGTGGCCTTTAACTTTAGTCTCATCTCAAGCTCTTTCTACCTATGGAATGCTCTCTGGTGATTTGCTGCCTTCTCATGGCATGCAAGATTTCTAGCCGGATTTTTCCAGTCCTTTGTTCCTGTAGAACCCAATGTGGTTGGAACATTAGACTGGAAGAGTTTGCACCAAAAACAGTATGCAGCACTCTGGGATTTTGAGTACATAAGCCATGGCCTCTCCACTTTGTCACCATTGGGGATTTCATGCCAGTAATGTGTTGGATGGAAACTTCTGTTTTCATTGTCTTTGGGGAACATGAAGTTTTTTCACTTGCTGTGGCCCATGGTACAAGGAAGTCCCTCAGGCTACTGCTCAAGTGGATCCACAGACCTGGATCATCTAGACTTAAGGAACTAAACTCATCAGCAGCTGTTTCTTGCACCTCCACCACACTCTTCTCTAATCTATAGTTTTCTTCAGGAATGTGCATGGTTACATCCATTCGAGAGGGCGATATGGATGCTGCAGTAGCTGCCAGGTCACCTGCACTCTGATTAACGGGAAGATCAGGCATCTCCTCACCACTCTCATCCTCACTGGGGACAGAAGGCTCACTGTGAACGTGTGTGTCTCAGGAGAGCTTCTTGCTTAGATAGAAAAGCTTCATTTGCTTTATTTCTTTTTCTGAATGCTGCCCCAGAGGGGCGTTTTCTTTTTCCCCCCCCCACTCATGACTGCTGTTCTGTGCCAGGTATAGAGGCTCTCAACACTCAGCCGAAGGGGACAAATAAGCAGGCTGATAGCAGGGCCTGCGTGAGGGAAGATATCCGCATCTTAAGGTCCTAACTGGCTCCTACTACTTCAGGAGATTGCCTGTTCTCCTCAGGTGGGTTCAGGGAAGCAGCAGGAAACAGGAAGCTCCCTGAGAAGCTGGTGTTAATCAGTCCAGGCTCTCTCTTCCTGCAGCGCTCTGTTACCCCTCTCACCTTTTCTCCTGCCTGCCAGTTATGTCTGATGCCCTCCTTCCTCTAGCACAGCACTCCACCATCTTTGTGCAGCTAGAGCAGAGAGAATACATAGGCACAAGCAGCAGACAAAATTTTCCTACACTCTGGGTCCTAGTGGCATCCCCCCCCCCCCCACCCCCAGTCTGGCACCTGAGGCAGCTGCTTCAGTTCGCCTCAGGATAAGGCCAGCCCTGCCTACCCATAGGAATCCTAACTCTAGGGGGAGAGTACTCCCCACAGGAATCTTAACCCTAATTTCAAGTGGCACACTCTTAGAAATTGTGACCCTAAATCCACTTGCCTACCACTAGGCTGCTAAAACTGAACTCCAAGTGGCCTACCCATAGTAATCAAACCTAGCGGTGGCACCCTACCCATGAACCTAAGCCTAACTCCAACTGGCCTTACCAGAGGTACCCTAATTCCAAGTGGCCTATGTACATTATCCCTAACCCGAACAGCAAGTGGCTTACCCATAGGAACTCTAACCCCAGGTTTGGGAGTCCTACCCAGCGGAACAATAACCTTAACTCAGAATGGTCTATGGGGTACATAGGAACTGTAACCCTGCAGTGGGAATTGCTACTCATAGGAACCCTAAACCTCAGGAGAGGAGCTCCACTGATAGGAACCCTAAGCCCAATTCCAAGTTGTGTTAGGGTTAGGCTTCTCCGGCAGGCCATTCGGAGATAAAGTTATTATTCCGCTGGGTAGGACTCCCCACCCTGAAGTTAGGCTTCCTATGGGTAGGCCAGTTGGTATTGGGGTTAGAATTCCTGTATGTAGGCCATTTTGAGTTTGGGGTAGGGTTTCTTTATGTGAGGCTCCCCGCCATAAGTGTGGGGTTCTTATTGGTAGTTCTCCACTCCCGAGGGCTAGGGACCTATGCTAGCTGCAGTTTGAGTTAGGGATAATATGCGTTGGCCACTTAGAATTAGGGAACCTCTGGTTAGGCAACTTGGATTTAGGGTGAGGATTTCTTGAAATTAGGGTTAATGTTCCTGTGGGAAGTACTATCCCCCTAGAGTTAGGGTTCCAATGGGTAGGACTCCCCACCCTTGGGTTAGGGTTCCACAAGTTGCCAATACATAGGAACTCTGACCTTAACACCAAGTGGCCTATGTAGATCAACTCTAACCCTAGGACAGGGAGCCCTACCCATAGGAACCCTTACCCTAACTCCAAGTTGCCTACTCAGAGAAACTTTAGGTTAGGATTCTAAGGGTGGGCCACTTGGAGTTCAGTTTTGGGTTCCTGTGGGTAGGCCATTTGGAGTTAGGATTAACTTTCCTGAGGCTAGGCCACATTGAATTAGGTTTAGTATTCCCAGCCCTAGGGTTCCTATGCATTGGCTAACTCCAAGTGGCATACCTATAGGAACCCTAACCCGCTCTTGAAATGGCCTACCTTTAGAAAGGCTAAGCCTAACTCCAAGTGGCCTACCCTCAGGAACCTGAAACTGAACTCCAAGTTCAGTTAAACAGAATTAAGTTTAATCAATTATTCATTAGGGTAATTTTTCCTACTGGGGAAACAATGTACTGCAGTCGAGATGGGATAGTGGAAGAAACAGGGGAAGGAGGGGGCATTCTGGGGAATACACTTTCAATGCCCAAGTGGGTCTTTGCAACCTTGTCAATTTAAAAAAAAAAAAAACCCACACACTGATCACACCGCCAACTCCACCAATTAGCATGTGGGCAACACATGCTGCAAACAAAAGGTAGGAGTAGACTACAGTTCCCCTGCTGCATCAAGACACTGCACTAGAAGCACACATGAGAAGGAGCGGCAGGTTTAAGTCCCTCCCCCAGTAGATTTGCGCAGAGAGCTATGGGCACCTGTATCTCAATCACTGCTTGACACATGCAGGTGAACAGATCTATGAAAGGATGCTATAGACAAACAGGCAAAGGGGTGGGGAGGGGGGGAGAAGAGAAGAGTGTTGGCAAACACATTAGAGAGAAGTAATGAAGGAAGAACAAACTCAGCACCTGTAGTCACCTCCTGAGCAGAGGCCTGGAACCAGGAAGGACATGCTCCTCCCTGCCATGGGAGATCAGCTACTCCCAACATGGGGAAATTCTCCCCCTGTACTCAAAATGAGCAGAAAATCTTTTATTAGAAACCAAGCTGCAGCTAGAGGGAAGCAACAGTCTGTACTCAGCCTTTACCACATCTTAGAGGCCAATGCACAGAGTGCAGCTGCCCTGGAGCAACAGTGAACCCAGTGGAAGGTCAGGGTTATGCCCAGAGCATTTTCCCCATAGAGCAACAGTGACAATGGTTGGCCAATCCAGGTAATGCACAAAGCATTCCCCCTCCCCCCCCCTCCCCCGAGTGCAGCAGTAACACCAGGTGGAACATCAGGATAATGCATGAACCATTTCCCTGGGTGAGCAACAGCGACACCAGGTGACCACTTGGGGGTAATGAACAGACTGTTTCCCCAGGAGCAGCAGTGACAGCTGGTGGGTGGCCAGTCAGGGTAATGCACAGAATGCATCTGGGAGCAGTAGTGATACCCAGTGGAGTAATGCACAGACTGTTTACTCAGGAGCAGCAGTGACACCAGTGGCTAGTGAGGGGTAATGCATGGAGTGTCTCTCCAATGGAGCAGCAGTGACACCCAGTGGCCACACCCTGTGGCCAGCAGGGGCAGTGCCAGCGTCTTCCAGTGGTGGTGGTCAGACAGAAAATTGTGGCAGCTGTGACCCTGCTTGCCAGGAGGCCCAGCCCCTCCCTGTTGCTCCACCCCCTGCTCCTCCTCAGTGAAGTGCCAGCCCCAACTCCCCTCTGAGGCCATGGCCACTTCTGCGACTGCTTGCAGTCCATAAGAGCCACCTGGGTACAGGACCCAGCTATGGGGCCAGCACAGCCCTCAAGGAGCAGAACCCAGGAGCCCAGGCCAGAGCACATTAGTCCGGGATGCTGTGCTGAACCCTAGACCCTCCTCATGTCCTGGGTGATGCACCCTGGTGGGCAAATACACGGGCCAAAGGCTACTCTTGGGGCCCCCTGCTCACATCCCTTGAAGCAAGCTGGAGTTGTAGAGAGGTGTGATCAGGGAAGCTCACCCAGTGATGTAGAAGGAAGAGAGTTGATGACTGAGCATGTCAGGTTACAGGCATGGTGCTCTCCACAAAGTTACCATACATCAGGAAGACTCCATAGCACCGGACAATTCCTTGAGCGGACACAAAGGATTCCCCCAAGCTTAACATGTCCCAGATAAATAAAAAGGCCTTTCTCAGGGACCACCCCATGCTGACAAGAGAGTCTTTGAAGCCCTCCCTCAATACTTAACTAAAGCAAATTTCTATTTGCTCTTACGCCACAGATCACTGTCTGGCTTCCATCTCCCTTGATGGTCTCAAGGTGGCTGCTCCTTTTGGTCTCTGCCACAGGTTGGCCATTCTTTCATCTACCCAAAGTCAATAGGAACTAAAAAGAGAAGGAACCCTTGTAAACTAGGCCAGCAATGATGTGTGGAAGACTGACACGTGTCACCTGGCTGCTTCTCACTGGAGCCCCTGTCTCTATATACCTTTCCAGCCTACCCAGTGCCTAAAATGGTCATCACTTGTAAGGAACTATAGCCACCCAGATCTCTCCACACCCTCAGCCAATGACACCCATGCCCACCCAGGATGCTCTGAAGAAAGGAATGGTTGAGTATGGAACTGGAGAACTGTGGTCTCCTGTGGCGGACATCAAGTGACAGACCAGAAACTACAGAGCATCTCTAGTTATATGTAAGTCACCCTCCCTCACATTTAGTCATGGGAAGGAGGGGGACACTCCCAGACAATTACTAGCCAAAGGCAGAGCTCTACCTTCCCCAGAGCGCATCCCATGGAAATGAGAAGCATCTCTCTGATCTCAGGGAGGCTCTTTGCTACTCAAATACTGGTGGGGGGGGGGGGACAGAAATCATTTCAGAAAATCAAAACAGCTCCTCCACCATCACGGTGACCATAACACAGGACTGAAGAGCTTCTCAACTCCAATGAGAAGTGGCATGTCTAGATTGCTCAGGTCCACTTCCTCCAGATGCTCCTCTACTGGCCTGGAGCAATCCTCTGCAAGAACAGCAAATAACCCATAAAAGAGCCATCACTGTCCAAAACTCTATTGGTGCACAAAATCCTCCCCATGTGCCTCCCTCTCCCATCTGAGGCATATCACCCCCTCAGCAGTAAAATACATGAATTCAACACTGATGGCTCAAATGGCTGGTCACCGCCTCCTCCCACCAGCACTATGACACCCTGCCCACAGCATGAATTTCCATCCCTGCCTCCCCATTTCCACCCTCCTCCCAGTCCTGCAGGCTCTCGATAACTAGCCTGTAGGGGTGCACACTGAGCACACCTGTACAACTCCTGTGAAGGGAGACAGCATGAGGAGAGGCAAGGGTGAGAGAGAGAACGAACCAACACATAAGAAAAAAGAGAAACATGGTAGGAAGGCAAGAAACTCAGCACCTAGAATCATCCTCCTAGATCCAATCTTCTGCAAATGGGGACCCTGTCTCCCTCATAGCCACAGCTAGTAAGGAACCTTTTCTTACAAACTCAGCCCCAGCTAACAAGTGTCCTGGCCTGGAGCAAGGTGGGCTGTGACCAGAGCCCTCACCAAACCAGACACTTCTCACCAACAGTGATGGCCGCTCCACTCCCAGCTAGACTGCTCTTGCCTGGCATCAACAATGCTTTTGGTCTCACTGCTCTTGCTCACTTTCCATTGCATGAGGGGAGTAGACTGACCCTTGACTTCTTGTCCCTTGGTAATAAACCCAGCACAAGGGGGTGGGGGGGAAATTACCATCTTAGTCGTCAACATTGCATAGGCTCTGCTTGCATCTCCCACCCCCCAGGGTTCCACCCTAAACCCATTACACCTTTAGGACTACAACTAGAAAGCACCTGTTGCACCTATGCCCAAAATAGTCACTCTCCATAGCAGACTATAGTTGCATTCCCAGTCTTAATCCCACAGAGCCCTGTGCCCAACAATGAGGCTCACGGCCTCTGAAGAAAACTAGGATGAGGAATTCAAAGCACTGACCGCTTACTCGCAGCCAGTTATGTAGAAGGCAGAAAACTGAGGACTGATCATCTCTGCTTAGAAGGATGTCTAGGTTGCTCAGGTCCACTTCTTCCATCTTCTGCTCCACTCGGGGCTCCTGGACGATTCCTCTGCAAGTGTACCTAATAAGCCAAGCAAGAGTCACACTACTTAAAGCATGAAATTTTGTCGTCCTCCCTCTCCCATCCGATCTACGTCAGCCTCAATGAGCAGATAGTCAACACCGACTGTCATCCCACCAATGTCACACTCAATACTTTGCATGATTTTCACCCCCTCCTACGTGTTGCAGGCTGCTGAGACCAAGCTTGTGGGAATGCACACCTAGCACAGCAGCTCATGTCCAATAAAGGGAGATGGCACAAGAAGAGGCAAGGAGAGAAAGTCGGCCAACATGGGAGGAAGGCAAGAAACTCAGCACCTGGAGTCATCTACATGGATCCTACCTTCTGCTTGGGAGTACACACCACTCAACCATATGGCCAACATATGAGAGGAGAGAAACATCGGAGGAAAGAAAAAACCTCAGCACCTAGAACAGGGATAGGCAACCTATGGCACACGTGCCGAAGGCGGCATGTGAGCGGATTTTCAGTGGCACTCACGCTGCCCAGGTCCTGGCCACCGGTCTGGTTTAATTTAATTTGATTTAAAAATTTAATTTTAAATGAAGCTTCTTAAACATTTTAAAAACACCTTATTTACTTTACATACAACAGTTTAGTTATATATTATAGAAATCTTCTAAAAAATTTAAAGTGTATTACTGGCACGTGAAACCTTAAATTACAGTGAATAAATGAAGACTCTGCACACCACTTCTGAAAGGTTGCCGACCCCTGACCTACAGTCACATTCCTGGAGCCAGTCTTGTGTTGGGAAGGACACACTGCTCCATGCACTGAGAAATCAGCCTGTAATGATGCTGCCTTTGGTGGGACACAACTGAGCGTATCAATTCAGGACAAAATTGCTTAGAGCAGGGCAGTTACAGCCCAAAGCTGGAGTTCCTTTACTATTAAGACAAACCAAGCCAGCCAAACAGAGAGGACTTCGGTCTCACCCACTGGCTAACCATAAGTCATACAAGCAATTCACTCCAGTTTCCCCTGTATCACCACCCGTGCCACTCATTATGGGGGCAAATGGTTATGAAAACCAATACCCCAGTAAAAGAAAAATGGTTCTCCCAATCCCAAAGGACCAAGCCCCAGACCCAGGTCAATATACAAGTCAGATCTTACCCACAAATCACACTATTGCCAATCCTTTAGAATCTAAAAATCTAGAGGTTTATTCATAAGAAAAAATATAGATGAGAGCCAGAATTGGTTAAATTGAATCAATTACATACAGTAATGGCAAAGTTCTTGGTTCAGACTTGTAGCAGTGATGGAATAAACTGCAGGGTCAAATCAAATCTCTGGAGTACATCCACAGCTGGGATGGGTCATATAGTCCTTTGTTCAGAGCTTCAGTTTGCAGCAAGGTTCCTCCAGAAGTAAGAAGCAGGATTGAAGACAAAATGGAGGGGTTTCCAGGGCCTTTTATATTCTCTGCCCTGTGGAAGGACATATTTGTTCTTACTCTGGAAAAATCACAGCAGCACGATGGAGTTTGGAGTCACATGTCCATGCATGACTCAGTTTGCAAGTGGCAGCCATTGCTCACGTGTTACCTTGAATGTCCCAGGAAGACTTCTTATGTATATTGGAGTCTTCCAAGGTCCATTGTCAGTTAACGGTTTCTTGATTGGGCACTTAATTTGCAAATTCCTTTCTTAAAAAGCTGACCAAATGCTTCACTAATGCTATTTAGAATCAAACACATTGAGATACAAGTACATAGCCAATATTCATAACTTCAACTACAAAAATGGTACACATACAGATAGCATAATCACAGCCAACAAATCATAACCTCTTCATAGACACTTCACACGACAACCTTTGTACAATATTTGCTGCAAATATATAACAGTGGTTGCAGTTTGAAAATAATGTCACACAGCCACCATATGGCTACCCTTCCCACAGACATTTGACTATACAAAAAGAATATATACACCAGACAAGAGTATCTGCCAACCAGGGTACTCTCTACCCAGGCAAATGTATAAAAAGAGGTAACCCAACGACAAAAGGAACATGACAAGAGATTAGCCATGCTACAGGGACTGCCGGGGCAGAGAGAACACCAGGAACACAGCAGATAGGCAGTGAGGAGGCAGCTGGGAAAGGGCTGATGACTGGTTCAATTTCAGATAGACACGCACATGGAAGCTGAATCAGGCACCTAAGTCACCTTTAGTACTGGAGCTGTCGTTCGGTCCTTCGAATCCCTCTTGGACTCTATCTGTGAGAGGGGACAGGGAAGGGTTACAGACAGATACCTACCCCCAAGCTCTCTGTGCCCTGGGTTCACATCTGGTTTGCTCCCCAATCCTTGGCATTGTCCAGCATGTCTCCCTCCACTGTCTTGCCTTAGACGCCATCTTAATATTGCTCTCCACTTTTCTGGACTGCTGCTCTGCTTTTCAGACTTGTCTTGCCTCAGCTCTGCAGGCAGTGGAAAAGAGGCGTCAGGGGAACACTCGCCACATTCCAGACACCACACACAGCATCCACACAGCTACCAAACCACATCACTTTCAGCTAAAGACCACACCCGAAGGAGCAAAAAGCCTTTGAGCCCAAACACAAGACTGGAAGAGATTCACTCCCCACACACACCAAGCCCAGCCAAAGTGGGAGTGTGCCTCTTCTTTCCAGCCACAGGGTCCACGGTGCTTGTCAATGGAGAAGTTTGGTAGGCAGTGGGGCGGGGAGGGGCCCATGAAGCACTGGTTCAGGTGCGCTTTCCATCTCACAATGAGGCTGGACTCTGACCCTCAACTTCTTTTCCCTTGGTTCTAAACAAAACCCAAGAAGAAAACAAAAATTATCATTGGAGTCTGCAATGCTGTGTAGGCTCTTGCATCTCCCGCACCTTAGGGGTCTGCCCCAAAGCCCTCTTCCCATTACACCATTAGATACACTTGCCTTTATCCCTGATGCACCTAACCAGAATGCTCACGTCCTCTGAAGCAAGCCAGAGATTGGCAGAGAGAAGGACTAGAGTGCCATGACCAGGGACTCTCACCCAGTGATGTAGAAGGGAGTGTTTGTTCAGGCCTGAGTTACAGGCAAGTTGCTCTCTAGGAAGTTACTGTACTTCAGGAAGACTCCATAGCACTGCATAACTCCTTGAGAGGGCACAAAAGGCTCCCCCAAACTTATCACGCCCTAGATATATGCAAAGGCCTTTTCTCAGGGACCCACCCCATGCTAACATAACAAATTCTCTCCAGAGAGGAGTCTTTCCATTTGCTCATACTTAGCTCCCTGTCTCTTTTCAATCCTCTGGGATGGGCTCAGGGTGCTGCGCCTTTTCTTTGTCTCTGCTACAGGCTGGCCAATCTCATCTACCCAGTGTCATTAGGAACTGAAAAAAAGAGAAAGAAGGACTCAACCCACCATGGGCACAGTTGGGATGCTGGGAAGCAGAAACATGTTCCTGTCCACCACAGGTGCAAGGCCTCTTCCACCTCCACCTGTAAGGGCCCGCACACAGGGATCTGCTCCCTGTAAATGGCCGCTCACTGCTCTCTCAGAGGGCTCTGTCTACCCAAGCACTTAATACATAATTTCAGGGAAGTAGACAGGTCCCACTAGACTAGAGACAGCAGCAGCAGCAATAAGTCACTTCTTTCCTCCCACCTCCACCAGTAAACCTATACTTAACATGACCCATCTAGGCATAGAGAGCTATTGACAGCCAACTCTGAATCACTGCAGGTTTCTATACCTGCCCATGTCCAATGAAAGGAGACAGTAGAAGGACAAGCTCGGAGAGTGTGTGTTGGCCAACACAATAAAGAAGAGACTGTGGAGGGAAGGAGAAAATAAACTCGGAGCCCACGGATACTTTCCTGGCTCCAGCCCTCTACTGGGGAAAAAGGCTTTAGTATCTGTCCTGGGAATCAACAGCCTCCTCAACCACTTATGAGGAAGTTCTCTCCCCCTGCAGCCAGAGCTGATCAGGAACCTTTTCCTAGAAACCCAGCCTGTTGCAAGGTTACTGGCCCCCCATGCACCCTCTTGTGACCTGCAGTGGGCCTGAAGAGCCCTGCCTCAGTTTCCCTTTTTGCTCAGGGCCCTTTAACAAGTCCACACAAGCCAGATAAACAACGCATTCCCCTTCTGGGGTCCATTTTAATAAAGCCATCACTTCCCTTTAATGAAGTCGTGACCTCAGTTCCAAGTTGAGCTCAGACCCTCAAGCCCTGAGTGTATCTGTCCTGCAGAATTCAAACACTCTGCTCTCCTTGAGTCAAGAGTCCCCAGCCCTCCTTCCCAGATTTGGGTTCAGTTCAGTCTCTCTCACAGTATCTGGAGCCCCCAGCTCTCCTTCTCAGAGATGGGTTCTGTTCCTGTCCTCCCTACAAGAGCCTGTTTTGCCCCACGCAGCACACCCCTGCAGCTACTTCCTCACTGCAGCTACAGCTTCTCAGGCATCTACCATGCCTGAGCCCCATTCAGATGAAGTTAGGCTCCCACTTGAGCAGCCTTCCCCAGGGACTACCCCAGGAACCTGTCCCCAGGTCTCTCCTGAGTTAATCACAAGACCTCCTAGATTCTTACTCACCCTCCCTACCTGGGGAGAAAAGCTAAACTTCTCCCATGAACCGTACTTTCCAGTTATGGGTCTGATCCTACATGTGGGTAACAGCACTTCCATATATAACCATCTGCAAGGATTGGCCTAATAGTAACAAAGCCATTATGTTGTGCAAGCTAAATGAACAGACGGCACATGTAGCACAGCAATGACCAGTTTCAGTCATCTTCCTAGGTAAAAATATTTAATCTTGTCTTGAGAAAAATACTTTATACGGTTACATATTAGATCAGCTTTTTAATTCACATGTTTTAAGCCTGTGACAGGGTGCACTCACCACGAGTGCTACTTGCTCCTGGCCACTCTGGGGATTAGCTCTGCAGATGCGGTGTCCTCCTCAGCTGGTGTCTCTTCCATCACTCTCACACCCTGGGGACCCAACTCACTCCAGGAACTGCATCCACCTCTGCATGACTGGATCCTCCAGCCAAGTCACCATCCTTGTTTCCCCCTTCCGGGGTTACCCAAAGTCCAACTACAGTGTCTCAGGCAGTCTTCTTCTGTACTACCCTGATGGTGCCTGTCAGGGTTCCCTCCCCACGCTGAACTCTGGGGTACAGATGTGAGTACCCACATGAAAGACCCCCTAAGCTTATTTCTAGCAGCTTAGGTTAAAAACTTCAAGGCACAGATCCTTTCCTTGTTCTTGGACAGTATTGCTGTCACCACCAAGTGATTTAGACAAATATTCAGGAAAAGGACCATTTGCAGTTCCTATTTCCCCCAAAATATCCCAAGCCCCTTCACTGGGGAAGCTTGAGAACAACATACCAATCAATTGCCTTTAATAAAAGTACCGACCCTTTATGTTTAGGACACTAAAATCAATCAGGTTCTTAAAAGAACTTTATTATAAAGAATAAGTAAAAGAAGCACTTCTGTAAAATCAGGATGGAAGGTAATTTTACAGGGTAATAAAAAGATTTAAAACACAGAGAATTCCCCTCTAGGAATAACTTCAAAGTTACAAAAATAGGAATTAACCTCCCTCTTAGCATAGGGAAAATTCACAAGCTAAAACAAAAGATAATTAACGCATTTCCTTGCCTTTACTTACAATTTCTGTAATTTTAGATATATAATTTCAAGGTATCTTTTCAAGAGATGGTTTACCTGCTTGGTCTCTGTCTCCCCCCCCAGGGAACAAAGAGCACAAACAAACCCCTCCCCCCCAGATTTGAAAGTATCTTTTCCCATTGGTCCTTCTGGTCAGGTGCCAACTAGGTTAATTGAACTGATTAACCCCTTACAGGTAAAATGATTCTGTACCTCTGGCCAGGAGGGATTTGATGTTACTGCATACATAAAGGTTGTTACCCTTCCCTGTGTATTTATGACAGTATCACTTCCCCAGAAGACAGTAAACCCACCAGGTTCCAGTCCAGGGACCCTCAACCCAGCAGTTCTGGCCTTGACTCTCCCAGCCCTCACTGCTCCTTCCCTGGACTGCTTTCTACAATTCCTGCCCCACCCCAGGGGTACCAGCTCCAAACCCTCCTCCTTGGTAGTGACTCTCCTTACCCAGCAGCAGACTCCAAACACTCCTCCCAAGAACTGACTGTCTTATCCCAGCAGCAGCCTCTGCCTGTTGCCAGCTTCCTGGCTTTATAGGCTGTGACCATTCCTGTCCAGCTGAGCCTGCTTGCAATCAATTCCCTCCTCCCTAGCTCTTCCTCCAGGTGCAGCCTGTGGAGTTAATAGGCCTAGCTGGCCACTTAAACCCCTTCCAGGCCTGAGTCTTATTGGAAATCCCATCACAAAGCTCCACATTGGATGCCAGTTTAATAATGGATAATTACTGTTTGAAATTTATAAACATTAGCGAGCTTTGGTTATTGCTTGAAAACAAGTTAAATTTGAATAGTATTTTATAAACAATTTATTAATCACTTGGAGCTCCCTGAAAGTTTTTTTACTAGGGGCATGAATAATTAAAAATCAAAGTTAATGTCTTCACTTTAATGTTAAGTGTCAGTTTCTACATTATCCTGAATAATGAGGATTTTTGGCTGCATATTTATATATTTACTATGAAACAAGTGATATTATGTTCTATAGAGCATTTGTAAGCTTTGCCACAGGGATAAGGCTATTGAAAAACAAAAGCAAACAGCATGAGGCAGTGAAGTAGCTGCGTACTCCGTAAAGTCTCCATCACACACAACTTGCTAGTAAATGGCTAGTGGAAAAAATTCTCTGTTTCCCAATTTGTAATACAGGGATGACAACATATTCCTTCCTTTGAATCTGTGAATGAAAAGCCCTCCATGTCACGGACTCACAGGACTTGTGCTCTCTTGGCTCTGTACGGTCCCTGGGAGGAACCCCCTTCAGTGCGACAGCACTTCAGTGCTCCACTCTGTCTCAGGGGTTAAGTCCTAGTTCCCTCTGCCTCCTGGAACTGCACCTCTCTGAGCCTTCAGCACAACTGTCTCTCGCCGTTGGCCCCCTCAGGGAGTCCACTCGGTCTGGACCCCTGGGGCCTCCACACACAGAGGGAATAGACCAGAGTTATTCTCAGCCAGCATAAAACAGAAGGGTTTATTCAGCATCTGAACACAGCATAGGAAACTCTCAGGGATTCAGGCCTAGCATCCCTCAGCAGAGTACATCTAGGTCTCTCCAGCTGGGCTCTGACTGCTCTCTCCTTCCAGCCCAGAAAACCCTCTCCTTCCAGCTGGGCATCTGATATCACCGTCCCCCAAGTCCTGTCTGTGTCCTTTGTCTACTGTCCCAGGTAAACAGGCCTCCTCTCCTCTCATCTGTCCTTTGTTTCCCCTCTGGCTGGAACCAGCTGGTTAGTTCACCAGGGTCCTCCCTCCACAGCCCATTGTCCTCCCATTGGCCAGAACCATCTGAGATTCCTGAGCTGGGCCTCCCAGTCACCAGGTCACCAGTCATTGCGGTATCTATTCTCCAGGCCGTTTGCTGGCCCTCTGTAACAACAAACTCCCACTCCCACCACCTCATTAAACCAGTAAGACACAGAGAAACTGAGTCTCACGCCCTCTGCCTGTAAACCATTGAAAACAACAAGAAAACCCCCTGCTTCGTCACACTCCATATGGACTAATCAAGGTATTTTGATTATGCTAACACATGACCCCAATTTCCTCACACACTTTGAATGCTAGTTGTATTGGTGCGGTTATGAGCATCAAACATGGGCGACTCATGGGAGGGACACAAAGGGGGGCATCAGCTAAAGGGGGGCACGTGACCCTCCTCTTACTTCTCCCTGCCTCACCCCCCGCCCGGGGGCCCCATGTTCTCCCCATCCCCTCCCCATCCTCCTGTTGCACTGGGAACCGCGGCGGCAAAAGGAGCAGAACATGGGGCTGCCAGGTGGCCCCATGCTGGCCGGTCCTCTGGCACAGCTGTATCACCCTCAGCCCTTTCATGCAGCCACATCTCCTGTCTAGGGTGGGGTCTGTACAGTCCTGCTGGAGGACAGGATTGGGGGTGGCGCCGGTACAACCATGCTGGAGGAGCTCCTGCTACAGGGCTCTCCCAGGAACTGCAGTGGCAAAAGAGTAGAACACGGTGCCGCCGGGTGGCTCCACCTACACCGGCAGCTCCTCCAGTACGGCTATACGGCACCCAGCCCTGTCCTCCTGCGGGGTTGTACAACAGACCACAGACAGGAGACAGAGTTGCATGGAAGGGCTGGGGGCGGCGCTGGTACAGCCGTGCCAGAGGAGCTGCTGGCATGGGGCCTCCCAGTGGCCCTATATCCCGCTCCTTTTACCGCTGCGGTTCCTTGATGAATGTGCCCTCCCCAGGCAGTTACTGGAAATTTTGTTTATGCCGCAGACTTAGCATTGCCAACTTTCTAATCACACAAAACCAAACACCCATGCCCCGCCCCTTCTCTGTGGCCATGCCCATGCCCTGCCCCTTCTCCAAGGCCCCACCACCCCGCTTGCTCCATCCCCCCCTCACTCACTTTCACCAGGCTGGGGCAGGGGATTGAGGTGTGGGAGGGGGTGAGGGTTCTGGCTGAGAATGCAGGCTCTGGGGTGGGGATGAGGAGTTTGGAGTGTGGGAGGGAGTGTGGGTTCCAGCTGGGGGTATTGGCTGTGGGGTGGGGATGGGGATGAGGGATTTGGGGTGCAGGAGGAGGCTCTGGGCTGAGCCAGAGGGTTGGGTGCAGGGGGGCAAGGGCTCCATCTGGGGATGTGGGCTGTGTGGTGGGACCGGGGGTTGGGGGGGATCCTGGTGGTGCTTACCGCAGCTCTGAGGAAGTGGCCACCAGCTCCCTGTGGCCTCTAGACAGAGGTGCGGCCAGGTGGCTCTGTGCGGTGCACGCTGCTTTTGAACCTGTAAGCACCGCCCTCCCACAACTCCCATTGGTTGTGGTTCCTGCCAGTGGGAGCTGTGGAGCCAGCACTGGGGGCAGGGGCAGCACACAGAGCCTCCCGGGCCGCCGGGACCTGGCGGCCGCTTCTGGCAGCAACACAGAGTGAGGGCAGGCAGGAAGCTTGCCTTAGCCCCAGGCTCCTGCTGCACCGTCGACCAGACTTTTAATTAGGGTTACCATATTTCTACAAGCAAAAAAGAGGACACTGGGGGGGGGGAGGAGCCCCACTCTAGCCCCGCCCCTGCCCCACCCACTCCCTCCCACTTCCCACCCCCTGATTGCCCCCCTCAGAACCCCCAACCCCCCCGCTCCTTGTCCCCTGACTGCCCCTTCCTGAGAATGCCCTACGACCCTACCTGTCCCCTGACTGCCACGACCCTTATCCACACTCCCACCCCATATTCACACCCCTGCCCTCAGACAGACCCCCGGGGACTCCCATGCCCTATCCAACTGCTCCCTGCCCCCAACAGGACCCCCAGAACTCCTGACCCATCCAACTCCCTCTGCTACCTTCCTGCCTCGACCCCTCTCCACACCCCTGCCCCCTGACAGCCCCCCCCAGACCCAACTAACCCCCC